TTCCATGTTTTGATAAAATCCTTGGGGTTTTTCTTTATTGGGAGCTTCTGCATGAAACCTGGATACTGTGGAAATTGGTTATTCTTAGAGATCTTGCTCTCATTATTAAGTTGCTCCTGGTAACTTGTAAGAGATTTGGGTATTATCTTGCTTGATATGTATGGTTTTTATGTTATGCTTTTAAATCTGTTTGCTTCAGCTAATAATCAAGCTTAAAACACCTTTATTCATTTGAACATTCATTATCTCTTTTATTCTCCTTTTTATTCTCTTTTTTATTTATATTATTTATTTGGCCAAGGGTAGTTAGTCACTCAAGGAATTTGTCTCCAGTACACTGAGAGCTTCTGTACTGGAGACAAATTCTTTGTGTGTCTAACCACACTTGGCCAAATAAATAATGTATAAATCTCTGGATCCAAAAGATCCAATTGACACCTGATCACTGTCTTGACATTTGACAAAACAATATTTCACAAAAATAAGTAGGTGAGACAGAAAGTATATCTGTAGAGATGATTACAATACTTAAGTGAGCAAGGAGGAAATTGTAGGAGTATTTATCCTGGAAATATAGCATACAACTTCAGTGTCATGGTCACCAATTATTCATCATCTGAGACTTAGCACTTAAGTGAAATTTTTCAGCACTAGAGACAGACTCTGAATATTCTTAGTATGCAAACAGAACATTGAATATTTATCACTTATTAAAAAAAAACAAAAATTGACTTTTCTTAAGAGGGAAGTCATTGAGTTTCTTGAAAAACTTGTAGTTTCAACTTAGTTACTGAATTAACCCATTTTCTGGTGTTCAGAATCTGTCAAAACATAAATAAAAACTTTGCAATATTAGAACACCATAGACCAGTGGTTCTCAATCTTTTCTTCACTGTAGATTCCTTTTGTGCCATGACCACAGACCACCAAGACTTAACTCAAGGTTTAAACCATAACATTTCTTCAAACCTTCGTGGACCCCTTGTGATGAAATTGTAGCTCCCCAGGGCTCCCCAGGCCACAGGTTGAGAATCACTACCATAGACCACATAGAAATCTAACCAAAGTTAATATAAAACTAATTTAGCATGTTTCACAAAAGCACCTATTAATAACATGTTATATTTGAACCTCAGTCTAAGTAATCCATTTGATATTCCAATTTATCGCTCTATCACTCTAAGAAGTAAAGCAAAAGAAATTTGAAATATGCAGATCTTTAAAGCCGTGTCATTCAGTCTTAGTCAAAAAGATACCCAAGAACTTTGAATGATTCATCCTATCAGATAAGCAGCCTTTTTCAGACTGTCCAGTGATGTGAACAATAGGGAAGACCAAAATAATGGAGGGAAATATCAAGAAAGGGCTTAGGAATTGACTCAGTTTTGAGAACATGGGTTTAACTAATGTTAAACCACCCAATTTGGTGGGTAGTAGCTTGCATTATACATGATGCTTGGTGAGGCTGAAAACCTGCACAGACCTGGACCAAATGTATATTTATCTTGAAATGTCACAATTGTCTAAACATGTTTAGTCAAGCTAGGCTCTTTATAAAGAAGAGATGAGATGTCTCAAGAAGAAGGGTTATTGTTTTTGTTTTACTTTTCTGTCTCTTTCAGCTAGCGAAACATAAAGCAATCAAAGCCCCAGGGTAGAGTCCAAGTTCTCAGAAGCAAGCAGGCACATTATGAGATGCCAGGCATGACAAATCAATCCTGTTAAATTTTCAAGCAGCATTAATATTACTTTTAAACCCCAAAGCTTTCATTTCTACACTTCACAGCAAAGTAAAGAGCTTTCTGGCAAGTAAAGAATGAATTAATCATCATTTTGACATTAATCATCCCCTGAATTCAGGTCTCAAGTAAATGTGAATATAAGGAGTTTAGCATCTGACAGCTAACTTTTGACAGGAGACTTTTAGAAATGTGTTCCTCCAATACAGGCACTTATTACATAGGGACAATGTTCTTACTTTGGGAAGAACAATAAGCAGCCCGTCCAGCAAAATATATTCCCCTAAGCAGTGGAAGTAGATTGGATAATTGCGCATTAGAAGTTTGATTTGGTGCCAGTTTGCTGTTGTTTTTCATGGTTTAATTTGTTTACTTTTATAGTTTTAATGTGATTTTATGTGTTGTTTTAACTTTTGATTGGGAGCTGCCCAGAGTAGGTTGGAAGATGGATGGAAGCGTAAATGTTTTAAATAAATAAATAAAGTAACACTGTAGAAAAAGTGCACAGAAGAGCAACCAGGATGATTAGGGGACTGGAGACTAAAACATACAATGAATGGTTACAGGAACTGGGTATGACTAGTCTAGTAAAGAGAAGGATCAGAGGAGACATGATAGGACTATTCCAATATTTGAGGAAGGAGGTCAAGCTATTTTTCAAGGCACTTGAAGACCAGGTATTGAATAATAGATGGAAACTGATCAAGAAGAGATTTGACCTAGAAATAAGGACTTTTTTTCTGATGGTGAGAACAATCAATCAATGGAACAGCTTGCTTTTGGAAGTTGTGGGAGCTTCATCACGGGAGGCTTTCAAGAAGATATTGGGCTGCCATTTGTCAGAAATGGTGTAGGATCTCCTGCTTGGGTGGGTGAGTTGGACTAGATGACCAACAAGAATCCTTCCAACTCTGTTAATCTGTAATACCATAATCCAATTCAACTAATCAATTAATTCAATCAATCCTACTTCTGATTGCAGTATGAAAATGTACTGGTTTCACATAGTATATATGGACATTAAAGTGGAGAATTTTGTTGAATATTTATATATATATACACACACAACAAAAACACATCAAGAGAGAGTGGGCTTTGAGCATTACAGCAATAAAAAAGCATTGATCTGCTACATAAACTGCAATTAAAAAGGTCACATTCCACGCTGAGATTATTAGGAAATGACTCCAGCAAAACTGCTAATGTTATAATATTATACGCCTCCATCACAGAGGTGGTATTCAGCCAGTTCTGACAGATTCTGAAGAACTGGTAGTGGAAATTTTGAGTAGTTTGGAGAACCGGCAAATGCCACCTCTGACTGGCCCTGCCCACATCTATTCTCTGCCTCCGAGTCCCAGCTGATCGGCTGGGTCTTCTTTTGTTGCCCTCCACAGCAGAATGGAGCTGGAAAGCAGGTTAGTGGGATGGGGGAGGGGAGGGGAATTTTACAATAACCTTCCCTGTCTAGTCCACCAAGTCACACCACACCCACCAAGCCATACCATGCTCACCAAGCCACACCCACAGAACCGGTAGTAAAAAAAAAATGATCAGTATAAATCCAGTCACTGTTTCCGTTTTTCTTTTAAAGATACTGCCAAGCTAACAAAGCTTCAGAAGGTGGTCCCCCAGAACATTGTTTTATGATGAAGAAGCTAGGAGTTTAATATCTATTTTTTAGTTTGAAAAGAAGTGAGGTTTCACAGTTGTGATAAACATGCATGCAACTATCCCTAATGTGGAAAAGAAGGGCAGAAAATGTAACCCATCAAAAGGAAATTTAATTAAATTCAAAATGTTGAACATTTCAACAGGATCATATAAACAGACATGCTGGATAACGTATACACACACACACACACACACACACACATACATATATATAATGTCTGGAGAAGGTCTTAATCTTAAAGTTTACTTGTATAAAATCAAAGAAATGCATGCAAATGTAAAATTTTAATGAGAGAAAACAATGAAGTCTCAGTAATTTAAGCTAGCTGTTGCAAGATCTTTATATGTATTGGTATATGTATTAAGTTGGCTGTGTAAATGGATAATAATTTATTGGGCTGAATTAATCTCCATTAGTTTTATTCAGCATGCATTTATGTCTGCTAAAAGCCAACAAATATATATTGGTTTCGATGTTCTTCTTTCTGGCTGAATCTAATATTAATTTGATCCATGCTAAGCTCCTTCTGCAAAAATTTTGCCCCTCACTGCTGCATTATCTTCTGTAGCTGTGTGCAACTACCAGTTGCAATCAAAATGTCATGTTTTCCCTGTTATGTTTATCTTTTTGTTTCAGTGTGCTTACGTTAATAAAAACTATATTGATGAAGGGAGGAGGGAGGAGGAGGAGGTAAAGGAGTAGCAGAAGAAGCAAAAAGCGGAGGAGGAGGACTTTCTTTGAGCACAGAGCTGCTACAGAGAAGGCATACTGTGCAACCTGAGGAACATGAATTGCATAATGTGTTCACTTAAGATGAACTGAGTATCTATAGTATGCTGTGTCCTGGATTATATTATCTGCCAGAAATATGTTTCATCCTTTTCTCACATACTTTGCAAATCTCTCACAACCACCTTATCCTATCATGCTTGATTAATTGTGGGAAATCCCTGTGTTGTTACATTACTAATTGTAGTCTTTATTCTATTGTTACTTTAATTTTTTTTCACAAGAACAATCTTTTTTTAACTTTCTTTTTCACTCAGAGTCTGTCTTAATTGGTGTAGTCTACAAATAATGTACATAAGTATATAAATAAGTAGCCAATAATCCCAATGCTTAAGTCAAAAGTTCAATGCTAAATACTGATCTCTCTCTCTCTCTCTCTCTCTCTCTGTGTGTGTGTGTGTGTGTGTGTGTGCCACACATATCCTACTGGATTTTGCAGCTCTGTTTGAACATATGTAATCTCTGCCTTTCAAAAATTAGGTTTATTACTACAGGCTGCTTTCTCCTTGAGATGAAAAAGTATAATAAATGTGTTTAACGAGTGACATGCACACATGAAAATGGATGCCATTACAACAGTATGTTGTTTGTTTACTTGTTTTTAAAAGAAAAATATAGTTCATTGTTTCTGAAACAGTGTGTAGAAATGAGTAAACTAGATCACTGAAATAAAGTCTAATCATCAACACAATCTTTAAAAGAATTCGAAATCCTTTAAACTGTAGACAAAAGCCAATAAAGCTTCTAAGGAAGGAAATCAATACAAAGTCTTAAAGGTTTCTCTCCCTCTTACACAGACAGCAAGCTTTCTTTCTGAAGCTGTTTTCCCTGTGTCTTTGACAATACCCACAAAGCTGGATTCTTCCTTCCGCTTGCACGAATCCATCACTAAGGTAAAGGCAATTAAGATGTCTCATCTCACAGTGATATAAGCATTTCTTTCATGTGAAACAATCAGGAATGAATAATTCACTGTTTTCAGGGGTGTTTGAAAGTATTTATTGATGAGCCTGTATTGACAGTTTGATTGATGATTTAAATGCAGTCATAGTATTATTTTGTGCGTGGTTCTTTCAAAAGAAAGTCCCATTGAACTCATGGGGCTAACTCCCAAGATGGTAAATATAAGATTTGAGGCTTAAGTCTTCTGTTTCAGGATTCAGAATAAGGAGGTTTCCAAATTCAGGCATAAAAGTATTTTTTCACCCATTCATTGGAAGAGCAGTTGTAAGATTGTTTTTAGCACACCAGGTCAATATCAAATATCCCTTGCATTTAATATTCCAAGATATACCATGCTGTTCATGGGGGTCAGGAAAAGATTCTACACAGCTCTTTTTTGTCCAGATGAAAAAGTATTTGTCTTTTATGAACTATGAAACAACTCAGGGAGAACAGACAATATTTGTGTGCTGAAGTGGAGAAAGGTGATAAGCTAAGGCGGTCTTCCTTCAGTCCCAGATTTAAACTTGGAAATTATCTAGTCTTGGAAAATCAATGGATCCAAGTCTTAAGGTTTCTTGTGATTTAAAAAATGGATAATGCTTACCTGTGTTTAATGTTTTCAAAAGACTGCATATGAACTTTTTGGTCTTAAGATTTTTTTTTAACTCCTGTGATTTAGTCCTGTCCAGCTGAAGCTCCATTTTGGATTTAAGGAAATTTGGAAAGAACTGTAATAATGGACAACATAATTGCAATATTATATTATATTCCCAAAATGTGAAAATTTCCCCCCCCCCCCCCCCCCCCGCCGTATCAAGTCTTTGGTTCAGCAAAGGATAATCCTAATAAATGAAAATAAATATATCTTCCTGATATTAAAGAATAGATTTAAGATGTTCTAAAGCCTTTCTGAAAAAACTTTCTATTTGAAAAATGAAAAAAAATGTAGCTTTGTTTCTGAATAGTCTACGTTTAATTATAAGTTTCAGGATTGAATTAATCCCTTATCCTTAACGAATTGATATGACATGAATTGTTTGTGTAATGTTACATATAAATATAATATTATGTATTATTTTTTTCTCTTTGAATGGCTAGCTTATTTTTAATCACTACATTGTAAATAGGATTTTAAACATCATATAATCCTTATGTATTTTTCATGGTACTTTTTATGACTCATTAATATTTTTTTGGCAAAACCATTTTTTTAAATGTAGAAAAACTGAATCAAAAAGAAACTTCTAATTTAAGGATTCTTTTTAGGATAGACACATTTTTAGCACTGTTCTATAACTATTCTCTGTCTTCACCATGTTAGGTATTTTATTTAGTGTTTGGCAGTGAGACAATAAAACAGGCAATGGAGCACCGAGCATGAGGGAAGGAGAAATGGCTTTTCCTCTTTCTTCTCCCTGCTCCTCCTCCTTCCCTTGTGCCAGCCGCTCCGTTGCCCGTTTCTCCATTGTAGAATAGCACCCAGGATCTACTTTGATAGTGTGTGTGTGTGTGTGTGTGTGTGTGTGTGTGTGTATGTGTAATTTAACAACCATTCTTCCAGGGTTAAATTGGCTGTCATGGGAGGCTCATCCCACATGTGCGGTGGACCTGTAGGATGGCGATGGGCCCTACCTCTCATGACAGCCAACCTAACTCCAGGCGAACCAATTGTTAAATTATTTGAAACTGCTTATACCACCCAGGACAAATGGTTGTTCAATCTTTTGTTGAAAACTTCCAGCATGAGAGCAGACACACCTCCGGGAGGCAAGCTGTTTCATTGATTAATCATTCCTACTGTCGGGAAATTCCTCCTTACTTCCAGGTTGAGTCTGACAAGATTCCACCTATTGTTTTTTGTCCTGCCTTCTGATGTCCTAGAGAATATGTCAGTCACCTCTTTTCTGTGACAGCCCTTCAAGTATTGGAAGAGAACTACTAATACTTCTCTTTGATAGGCTAGATATACTTAGCTCCCTCAACTGTTCATCATATGCTTTAGCCTCCAGAAACCTTATCATTTTTGTTGCTCTTCTCTGAAGTCTTTCTTGGGCCTCAGGATCCTTTTTTTTTTTTTTTTTTTTTTGCATCATGGTGACCAGAACTGGATGTGGTATTCCAAGTGTGGTCTCACCAGTACAGTATAAGGCAGTACTATAACTTCCTGTGATCATGAACCTATCCCTCTGTTGATGCAACCTAAGCTTTTTGGGGCAGCTGCAGAACATTGTTGACTCATGCTTTAGCAATGATCCACCAGGATGCCTAGATCACTTTTACTATTGTTGAGCCAAGTACCTCCTCGTCTATACCTATTTGGTTTTTCCTGCCTACAGGACCTTACTTTTCTCACCATTGAATAGATAACATTATATACTGTATTTAAGGATATTTTTCAGGATATTTAGCAAGGTTTTAAGATATCATATATAGAAATAGAATTTCTGTTGAAACATTTCTTTGTCCTGGTGGAAGATGCTAAAGTGTCCTGAAGTATTCTTTTTGGTATTTTAATCTTATCTGTTCATGCTAAGGGCAACTAGTTGCTAGAAATACATACAACTCCATCAAATACAAAGAATTCAGATCATTCTTCTTCAGTAGAGCAATAAAGCTGTAAATTGCTGTTCCACATACCTTCCGAACCCTGTCATTACATTTGAGAATTCAAGGTTATTCCATAATATATTTTTAAAATCCCTTCAATTTAAGGTAGGATTATCATTCCAATTTCCACTTAGGCTTCAAACATTCCATGAAATTAATAGATAAGAACAAGATCTTATATGCTGGCCATATTAGCTGAAACTTTGTTCAATTTCATATGCTACTGGGGAGTTATTAGTCAAAGTCCCTGCACCCACTTTGCATTGCTCTTTCAGGTTAACTTTGGGTGAAAAAATCCCCAGGATCAGCCTAATGAAATTGTTCCTAATGCATCTGAACAAGGCATAGCATTTCTCCCAAATTCCATTTAGTGTAACAGTTATATAAGCAGAACCTCATTTGTTTGTTTGTTTCTGAAATGAACCAGAAAAGAAATTCATAACTCTATTTAATCCTTTTACATGAGTCATAGGCATAGAATCATGATCACGTCCTTAGATCCTAAAGATGCATTTTGAGGCCCTGGAGAGTATGCCACATTCTTCTCAGAAAACAGTCCAGATCTTCTCTTTGTCTTATCAAGTGCTTCCACCATTTGTAGGAAGAAAGTTCGGAGGTATCAAAACTACTAAATGTCAAATCTTTTTTCTTTAAATTGAAGCCTTATTGTTTTTCTTGCTTTCCTTCTTCCATTCTTTCACTCATGCTGTATGGAAAAATAAAAGGGGAAACCTCCATTCCTTCAATGGCAAATGGACAAAAGAAAATAAAAAGCAATATCTATGTTCCTTCAAAGATTCCCAAAGCAGCATGCTGTCTAGGATATCAATAGTAGCATCCAGGCAGTGGTCTAAGAAAAGGAAAGTAGGAAGCATTTAAAGTTCCATAATCAACATTTCTATGTTTTTGGCTTGAAATGTTTCATAGAACATAGTCTAATATAATTGGAAGGGACCTTGGAGGTCCTAGTCCAACCTCCTAGTTGTCCAAATGGTTGTCCAGTCTCTTTTTGAAAGTCTCCAGTGATGGAGAACCCACAACTGCTGAAGCCAAACTATTCCATGGATTGCTGGCTATAACCATTTGGAATTTTATTCTTAGTTCTAGGTAGCTTCTCTCCTTGATTAGTTTTCATCCATTGTTTCTTGCTTTGCCTTTTGGTGCTTTTGAAAATAATTTGACTCCCTCAACTTTTTAGGAGCCTCTCAAATATTGGAACATTACTATCATGTCTTCTTCTGTTCTTTTCTTTTTTTAAAATAAATTTTATTAAGTTTTCAAACTTAAAAAAAAACTTAAAATAAAACTTTATACATTGTTATCAACATCAAGACATCTTTTGTATCTCCTTACATTTTTCAGTATATGTATTTACTTATTCCTTTACCATTACATCTTACTCTTGCTATAAATCAAAATCTTTTATTCTTACACATCAATCTTCTCTATGGTATATTTACAGGGATGGGATCCAAATGGTGTAACTATCGGTTCTATCTATTAGCATCATGTGCGCATGCGCAAGTCATGTGAGTGCAATTTACGACCTGCTGAGCTGCCCGGACAGCTGAGCAGCACTGTGTGCAAGTGTGCAGCGGTTGGAAAAGCTCTTTTTTTCCTGTTTTTTCAACTGCAGCTGTGTCGCGCAAAGCAGCTGCAGTTGAAAAAGCAGGAAATAAAGGTGAGGTAAGAGCCCAGATGGCGGGTCGGTTCTATATCTGCTGCTCTTCAGAGCAACCGGTTCTACAGAGGTGGACAGAACTGGTAGAAACCCACCCCTGTATATTTACATATTTACACATTCCCTCATTCTTTTCCTAATTGCCATTTTATTTTCTTTTTATTTCTAAACCACTCATACCAGGCATCCCAGGCCCTATAGTAAATTAAATCTTCTCTTCTCTTTTATTTTCATCATTAGCCTGTCCATCTCTATACAATATATTATTATCTTTTTTAGAACCATGCCTTCTGGTGGAACCCCTTTTTCTTTCCAGAGTTGTGTGTATGAAATCCTTGCAGCTGTTAATATGTGTAACATGATATATCTATCTGTTTTATTGCATTTTTGTGTTATTATACCTAATAAAGTTTCTGGATTAAATTCAATTTTCTGATTTGTGATTTCTTCTAGCCAGTGTCTAATTGTATTCCAATATTTTTTCACCTCCTGGCATGTCCACCAGGTATGGAAATCAATGCCCTTTTCTTTTCCACATTTCCAACAATTTGGGTCTGAGTTAAACATTTTTGCCAGTCTAGCGGGAGGAAGGTGCCATCTGTAGAACATTTTATATTGATTTTCCCTGTATGCTGTAGATGTAATTAATTTGTAATTTAA